CTGAGATATCTGGTTAGTGCAAACTTCTTTCAGCTTGTTCAAAACAAGAGTCACAAACTTTTTTCCGGTTCTCCAACCTTGGATGCACCACAGAAGTCACGAGTTATATATGCGTTATATTTAATGGTATACTTAATTTAGAGAAATTGTATGCTATTAGGTCTCTGTGGATCATAAGACCTGTTTTTATGAGCGCTGCATATTTTATGACATATTGTATTATTATCATTATTTCTTATAATATATATTTGGATCTCATTGTAAAAATGTTTGGGTTTTTTTTCAGCTATGGCACAGAAATTTATATCTGTTGCGTTTTTGCCACAGTTTATCGAAATGTAAAGGGAGATGCCATGTATGTGGAAAGTTAAATCAAAAGATTATTCAAATCGTTTGCTGCGCGATGAGGCGATGAAAAAACTCATTGAATTATGCAAAACCGTGTGCGTACATGCAGATGAAAACTATGTCAAAAACAAGATTGCAAATCTGCGTACAGTGTTCAAAAAAGAATTAAATAAAATTGAAAACTAAAAAATCCGGTGCTGGCACAGATGAGGTGTATGTGCCACGGCTGTGGTATTTTCATAGCCTCATGTTCCTGACTGACTCAGATGTGCCAAGAGAGTCTCAATGCACTTTGCTGCCTGGTCCCTCTGATGAACTATCCTTTTCACCTCTGCCTGAATTTGAGGTACCAGAGACACAGGCAATTGAAGTCAAACATTTATCTTTACAATATATGATCATATGTAACCTCAAAATGTACAATTAAATCAATGAACACAAATTTCTCAAATATATTTATTATTTATATGCACACATGCACTTTTTTTTGCAAAACTAAAGTCAACTATAATATATATTACATTACACAAACTTTAATATATACTTTAGACAACATTATCCTGCCAAGATACTGCACCATTGCCCACAAAATATTGCATATAATTAACACGATTTTCACGCGCTGTCATGGTTGACAAAACTGGACGCACAGGAGCCAAATTTTCAAGGCTTCCATTATCGCTCCTCCATTCTCCTGGCAGAACTTTACCGCTTAACGGATCTTCTCTGTCCACTGATACTGGTGATATATAAGCTGTGTTGGTCGACCTGAGAAAATTGTGGATTAGGCAGCAGCTCTCCACAGTCACATCAATTGTGTCAACGCTCACATTGATGGGAATTAGGAAAATCTGGAAGCGACTTGCCAGGAAGCCAAAGGCATTTTCCACCACGCGTCGAGCCTTTAATTGAACACTTTTTGATTGTGATTCATATTTTGCCATGGAAATGGCTTTAAAATATTTTCACTCAAAGGAAAAGCATCATCAGCTACAAAAACAAAAGTCCTTCAACTGTATGCTCGGATGTTGGAAGATGTAGAAGTCCACCCTTCATTCTTCTGTGGAATTCCGTATTCTCCATCACACCTCCATCGGAATTACAGCCATTTTTTCCGATATTCAGATACATAAACTCATATTTCGCGTTCACAATGGCCAATAGTATGATACTAAAGAAGCCTTTATAATTAAAGTAGTAGGACCCGGAGTGAGCCGGCGGTGTGATGCGCACATGTTTGCCATCTATGGCACCACCACAGTTAGGAAAGTTCCACAGGTCTTGGAAGTCTTTGGAAATCTGCAGCCAGTCTTGAGGGCACATTGGAAACTGTAACAGATAAAAAGGTTTTTATCGTCTGTTTTTGTAACATTTAACACATTTTCTACATTTCTGTTTGTTATAGGAAAGTGAGGCAGAGAAAACTACAACAGTGCACGCGAACAAAGGCAAAAAAAAAGAAACACAGATTCTGAAACTACTTTTTTTTTACGCCAAGCATCTGCTGCCCTGGCAGAAAAAGAGGACGAATGTGATGCGTTTACTAAACATATCGCCCACAAGCTGCGAAATATGAGCCTGCAGCAACGGGAAATAATAGACCCACTCATGTATCAGCTGTTGACTATTGGCCAAAGGGGACAGGGTACCTATGACACAAGAATTGTAGGATTCAGTAGATATCCACCTCCACAGGGCACAGCACAACCACAATACATGCCACTAAATATGCCTCCAAACACACCAGCCAGAGAGCCTCAACATTTGCCTGGCTCCCCACTTAATCAACAGTGGCCAGAACAATCCCACAGTAATTGGGATGTGCAATACACCAACCTGCAAAATAGTTATCGCAAAATACATGTGTTCTCATTCAAAATATTAAAATGGATTTTTTTTATGTTTTCAGTTCAATAAACTTGTTAAAAGTTATATAATATAAGACTGGAGTCTTATTTTTTCAAAAAATTTTCTCATTGTGGTTTTTCTCTTTATTGTGTGGGGGGATGGGGGAAGTAAGAAGAATTTTTTATTAAATTTTTTTGCTTTTGTTTTAATTTTTTCATATTTCACTATGACCAAAGTAGTACAATGTTACCATGGTAACATTGTATTACTTTGGTGAAGTGATCATAATTTTTTTTTAACTATTTGCAAAGAATTACTTTGCTAATAACAAGCATTCACATGAATAACATTGATTCATTCATGTTTTTTTTTTTTTTTTACTTAGTGATTTGGACATGGCTAATCACATGACACAGCTGGCCTGTGCTTGTGATCGCTGTGACCATTGACAGCTAGGCACACTAGTATACAATGGATGGCATGAATGAAGCCATCCATTGTATACAACTGTCATTTGACCTGCTGTGACTGGTCACAGCAGGTCACATGGTACTGGCAACAGGGCCGGTACTCAGATCTCTCATGGGCCGTGCCCGAGGTTAACATTTGGGGTGATGAAATGGTTAACTGTGTACTGTTTCACATTACATGCTGTCAGTGATTTGCACTGTATGCACATTGCTTTATATGAGTAAGATAAGCAGAGCCATACAAACCAGTGTGCAGGAGCAGAAAGGGGAGAGAAACTGTTAGATTTATAAAAACAAAACAATATAACAAAACAATATAATCTTTCAGTCATATATAGATATATAAAATAACTACCTTCAAATAGTCAGCTTTCAGCACGCTGGATATTGCTGCACACGTTTCTGGGATTATCCGACCCAAGGACTGTGCGGATATACCCGTTGAAAACTTGAGGTCTTCATAGGATCTTCCTGTTGCTAGGTAACGTGGTTGCAATGAGTCTCTCCTCTGCGCTGATGGATTTGCGCATGCAAGAGTCTTTTTTCTTAATGTGGGGTCCAACCATGGATAGCAGGAGCTCAAAAGACTGCTGTGACATTCGCAAATAGTTTTTTAAGTCATCAGGATTGTGTTCTTTTAAATTGGAAAGCAGGTTCATGTGTGAAAACATGGCACGTTGAAGAAGCCAGTCTTTGGACCATACTCTGCTCTTCCTTGCTTTCTTACTTTTGTTTTTCTCCTCCACTGCTAACAGGCCAACCATTATAATGGACAGTTTTTGTTTTGAGATTTTTCGTGGCATTTTTTTTCCAAGAAACAACGATAACTCGTTCATATGACACGATGCTGATGTCTCCATTCGTCAGGTTCCGGAGAGGAGGAGGATCACAAAGGTCACAAAATGACATCATTTCCCGTTCTAGGTTACAAATTTCATGACCTAATTGGCCGATTTTCGTAATAATTGGTGGTCAGGTAGGCTTTTTAGACCGACTGATATTTCGTTTATCGAACGAAAAATCGGCAGATTTTAAACACATCTATGGCCTGCATTAGTCTCTACAACATTGTAGCAGAGGTCATCCTATTTTTACTTTTCTGATCGAATGTTTACAGACTATAGTGTTAGGGTATTTTTTATTTTGGTCAAATGTCATTAATGCTTTTTTTTCTTTTTCTCATAACAGCAAATGTTAGCAGATGTTACATTTGTCCTGAGAAAGGCAACCTATAGTAACTGACATTTCACACAAGTTGAACATTTTGAGTATTTGTGTTTTTTTTTAATGCACTTAGCAATTTTTCTTCTCATAAATAGTCCCTTATGTATTCTTCTGAGAGGACAATCCTACAGTTTAGGAGAATGCAATTTTTCCAAAAGCCATGGTGAAAATTCTAATAAATCTGACTACATTCTATAAAATTAAATTAAAGGTATGTGAAGGAGACAAAGTTTACAAAGTTGGCCCAGTTGCAGTGTCTCCCATACAGAATTAGCAGTTCACTGGTTGACTAATTTGTTGTCTGGAGTTGGTCTTTGAACATGTTAGCCAAGTGATGGAAGGAGCAGAGGAGAGGAATACTACAGGGGTACACCAAGTCAAACAGGGTTTTCTATAGGCATGTATGGTTGGATCACCTGATTATACATGAAAATGGTACCGTACTACTAGGGTTCCCGGTATCCATGCCAATACTAAGCATTTGAACGTGCAAATGCTCCGATACCGATTACCAATACCTTTTGTGGTGCAATTAGAGCCCATACCAAATTAATGGGCTCAAATCCCACTGCAAAGAATCAAATGTGATTTGAACAGGAATGCGGTGCGATTCCTGTCCGAATCGCATGTGCTTCCCCAGCGAGTGCAGTGCGATTTGAGCAATTCATTTTGTAATGACTCAAATCACACCGCAAACGTATCCGTAATCATTATTGGGAAGTACTCGAGCACAAATATCTGTACTCGCACATAAAAATGCAGCATCGGTGCAACCCCATATACTACTGTATGGTGACACGACTGTTATATCAATGCAGTTAGGAGGGTGGAGATCAGACCTACACCTTCCACACTGATAGATCTCAGATTACTGGCCTGTCACAAGTTTTTGTTTTCCTCCAAATCAGTTGGCCAAGTTTGCAAGTGTACTTTGGTGGCATCCCTATCCTCCGCAATTGTCCACCCCTCTCAATCCCAGTTGGGCAAAAACTATCCCATATCTGTGCAACGTAGGCTATTGGATTCACCTTTCAGTAGTGGAAATTTCTAATCTGTGGAGGAAAATTACTTTACTGGAGAAAACATGTTAATCACTTCTATATTTTACAGGAGCTCTGGAAGCACTACTGGACATGAAAATCCAATGCTTTCGTCTAAATCGAATTACATATTTTTTGGCGTTTGCCATATGCTACAAACTGGTATGTGGAACTGCATAATCAATTGTGATACTTGATTTCTGTGCACAATGTAAATGCAAACAAATTGAGAATAGGCTTAGGCTTGGAGCATGACCTTAAGCTCTAGATACTTAATTGTGATTGCCGGGACAAGGGGAACAGTTTTCTTGGGGTGTAATGATCAGATCAGAACAAAAGCATTTAAATATCCATTATATAGAAGGTAGCCGCTGGTAGATAGGCCAGGAAGATGTTAGGTGGCTTAAGCAACCTCAAAGTGTTAGTCCACAGTGTAACAATTGTACAGTTCAGTTTTGGGGTACAGCTAATAAAGGTGTTTGTAATTAAATTTACCACTGGATTCTCAATAGCTAGTGTAAGAGAGAAACTCCTTGCAGGAAGATTTTTTTTTTTTTCCATCAAAAGACTTCAGGCTACCCCAATACGTGTAAATCCCAATACGTGTAAATTAATTGGAAAGTGAAAGTTACAGCGTCTACAAATGGCGGGAAAGATACTGAGATTTTTTTTTTATTATACTAATAATGGCGGCAATCAGCGACTTATGGCGGTGATCAGTGATTTATGACAGTGATCAGCGACTAATGGCGGGACTGCGGTGGACATTTTGACACTGAGGGGGAACTGACATGGGGTCACTGACATCCCCAGTGACACAAATACAGTGATCAGTGCAAAAAAAAAACACTGACACTATACTAATGGCACTGGGGAGGAAGGGGTTAACTTTTATTAGGTAATGAAAGGGTTAACTGTGTGAGGGGAGTGTTTTACTAGGGGGCGGGGGTGTGTACTTCACAGGAACATGGAGAGATAAAGTATTCACTCAGGTTCAGCGTGCTCTGAACTGACCGATAGCAGAGCTGCAATGTAAACACTGCAGCTGTGCTATCTGTCAGTGATTACTTGTAATCGCTGGCACCCGGTGGGAAATGACCCGCCAGGAACCGGTGATGGACACCCGCTGCCACGATCGGCAGGACGGGTAGGGCGGGCACACGCCACGCGCGCGCCCCCTACCTGTTTTACACAGCAACGTTATAAGATGGCATGTGCGTACAGGTGCCGCCCTGCCGTAGTAAAACCATTGCGGCGGGTAGGCAAGCGGTTAAAGAGAAACTGTCATCTCTGCCCTGCAGTGGCTCCTCCTCTGACTCACTAACAGTCCCATTCACTTTTGGCTGGTGATGCGGCAGTGACACAACAAGTTGAGGGATGTGGCGACAGCAGGTAAGTCGATGCCCGCTAACAGGTGCTGCCTTGATGGATCTAAAATGACAGGTGGTCTTTAAATGTAAGGAATCCGACTCATTCCTATAATAGGTCAATCACTCGCTGGAGAACTACTCAAATTCTTTTATTTCATGTTTTTTCTCATGGTTACTGTGAAATTGTGTGAATGCATCAATACAGTGCATGTTCTCTTCTCTTGCTGAGTTGGATTCATTGAATGAGTTTACAAAAAATTTAAATATTGCAGAATATACAGCCTCATGCTACATAACTAAGCTCCATTTCATGCTGAATAAACTAAATTATTAATATATCTTAAATAGAAAACTATCTTTAGATAGATTTTTACTCTAAAAGCATTTTATTAAAATATATTTGATAAAAATCAAAAAATCCAATGTAAATGAAAAAAGTGATTTAAACAAAACAAAGGCTTTTTTTTTTTTTTTTAAATCACCAATTTTTATCCACCCTGGGGGGGGTACAGTTTTACTTTAAAATACCCACTATAGCATGTAAAATGGCTTTTTGTCACCAACGTTATCTTTGCAGTATTGACAGTATTGTTTATCTGACTTTTTCTATAACGTATTTTTTCTTTTCGTTTACAGGACAACCCACGATCCTTGGAGACATGTATCACTCTTTTTGAGCAATCTGTAATGGATGGAATTCTACACTCAAGAATCTCTTTGTGTTTTATAGTTGCACTTGCTTTAAAACAGGTTTGATATTTTTCTTAACTTGGTTAATTTTTGTCCAAATATGCTTTTTACGCTTTTTTAGGATGGCACTGAGAAGGTTTAGAACCTCTGAGTGTTTGTTTTCTTTCTCTGTTTTTTAACGTTTCTCTCAGTGTGGGCAATAAGACTGGAAAAGGGATAGACACAACAGTAAAATTATGAAATTGATTCTGACCATTTATTATTCTATACATATGCTTTGCCAGAGTTCTTTAAGTCATGAAGGTAATTTTTTTTTAATATATCTTAAATCACAGGACATACTGGACTCTGATATTTATGACTACTTGGGTTATGCTGCCACCTTCAGGTGAATAGACACCTCCCTGCTCAGCTAAGCCTCAGTTTTTAGCTAGTGTCCTCAGTTGATGGGTGTCCCTCCCTGTGTCTCTTTAAAGTGTTACCAAACCTGCAACAGTAAAATCAGTCTATATATACAGGAAAGCATGCTTGTTATACTCACTGTGGAACCTAAGGGGTTAATCCTCTGCATTATGTAAAAAGGCTGTTTGATCCTGTCTTCTATGATGCTCCCCTTCTTCTACTGTCTACAATCCATCTGCTGATAGTACAGAGCTTTATGAGCATTCTGCGCATGCTCTCTTTAGTGTGTATTGCTAGAGAGGTTTTTTCTTTGTTTTTGTTTTTTGGGAGGGTGCATGTGATCAGCACAGGGCCAATCAGTATAGTCCAGACAGAGGGTCAGGGGTTATGCAGCCTCAAAGGACAGTCAGAGGAGAATTTAAACTCCTCCTACAAGCTTTAACCAGTGCTCTGCTGGACACTGATAAAAGTCACAAGACTGCTCTAACTGTTGATGAGAAAATGTATTTAGTTTATATTTTCTAAAATAATTGCATTTCCATGTTCTGTGTACTCTGAGAGACCAGATATAGTGAATGCAGGGTCCTGGGTTTAGTAGCACTTTAAGTATCTTTCTCGGGACCTTTTCCTTATACCCCTGGTGTGGGGCATAGGTGGGTTGTTTCTGGATCGGTCAGAATGGCTACCATCCCAAGGGTGACTATACTTGGAACTCGCATGTAGGAGTGGGGAGGCCTGTAATGTCTGTTGTTCAGCACTGGACTAGCAGGCAGTGGTCCCTGAGATACAGTGTATCCAGTGACCTCCCTGGCAGGGTGCTTTACAGGTCCAGGGCAGTGATCCCCCTTGAGGGGAGCCGAGTTCCTGTGGGGTGCACTAGCTGTGTTGGGTGAAGACTGGGCCTGCACCAAGGACTGCTGAGTACCTCAGAATTGTGTGAAGCAGTGTGGTAGTTCCACCAACAGTTTTTTCTTGTGTTATGGGACAGTTTTATCCTGGGGTGACATACAGTGATGTTATAATGCAAAAGGAACAATGTGGGACATGTGCATAATTGCAGGCGTCTGCGCGTTTGAGGACGCAGTTTTTGCTGGACACAGGACATGTGCTCTACGAGATTACACAGCATGGAAATATGTACCTGGTTGTACGGCACTGAAAGTCAGCCTGCTCAGTGACATTCTTGCTCCAGCTCTGTACAGCAAATATTGGGACATTGTCTACTGGGGGTGACTGCAACATAAGCCAACACTCCTCTCAGCTGATTGAGTGTTTCCCTTTCGGTTCACAGGCCATTTTTAACCCTCAGCTAACCATGGCCTCCTGCAGGCAGAGAGATGTGGGGAGAAAAGCGGTGGGACCCCAAATCCCTCAATAAGGTAGGAAGGACCTCCTGCATAGTTCACCCTGCAATGACTCCCCAAAGGGTCAGCTTATTTCTGAATCCCTGCCCTTATCTTTTATTTCTACTGTTTGAGGGGGACAAACCTCCACTTCCTTTTGTGTAAATGGAAGATTTTTCTGTAGCCATATCTGGGCTGCGTGAACAGCTTTCATGTGTTCTCATGGACTTGGAACTCCTGGGAAGCATATGTTGGTGCTTTCCTTGCCTTGCTTCCCTATTGAGGAAATATGAGGCATCAGAGAACATTCCTAAGAATGAGGAAGAGATTGAAGCTGTTGAGTCCTCCCAGGAGGGATCTCAGTGTCTAGGGTTGTCTCAAACACTGAAAGCTATAGTGGGCTTCCTGGCAGATGTGGTTCTCACACAAACCTTAAATTACTGGTGCTGGAATCCTCTTCCCCTAAAGTCACTGCTTTTAGACACTCCCCAAAAACCCCAGGTCCTTTTCAGTGTACCCTCACTTACATGAAGTGATGTATGTCGATTGGGCTCACCCAGAGAAGGTATTTTTACCACTGAAGCAATTTGCACACCAGTACCCTATGTGGAGGAATTTTACAAAAGATGGGACTCTCAGGCTGTTGACCTGGCTATTGCCTACTTAAACAAGAACCTGACTGTCACAGTAAATGTTTTAGTGACTCTGCAGCCTGCAGTAGTTGCAGTGGGAAATTTGCCAAGCCCTTAAAGCCCATGTTGAGATAAAAATCAGTGCAAGGTCCAGAATTATTGCTATATATATAAGTGGAAGGCTAACCCTGTCGGTGGAAAAGGGGCCCCTGCTGTTTTGCCAGTTGGGATCCCTCTGGCAGTAGTTTGATACACTCCGATGCATTTCCCTGAACTCTACAGCTATGTTCCAAGTTGGCCTTGGTGTGTGTTTTGTTTTTTTTTGTACTATTGATAATGGTGGTTCCCCCAGAAGTCGCGTTAACTTGTTTTTGTTGGTATCCTTATACCATATTTTGTATTTTTCTGAAAACTTTAAATAAAGAATAAAAACAAAAATCAGCAAGAGTTATTACCATTAGTCTGGTGTGTCCCATTGTAAATGGAAGGCTTATTTCACTGGAGTAACCGTATGTTGGGGCACATTTTAGCTTTTCTCCAGTCGGGCGTGGGGATGTCACTGGCTATTAAGAGACAGTTCCTGGCCTGGTTCTTCTGTTTCAGAGGCCTCTTGCATCTCATTCCCTAGTAAAGCCTTTGGGAGAGTAATTACATGGATTGTTCTGCTTGTACAGTCCCTAGTCTCTCTATGGAACTGTATCTTAATTTTGTCTGTTTTTCAGACTTCTACCTACGAACGTCTCTAAGAGATTCCCTTATCAATCCTAATGAACAAGGTTATATTTTTAGTGTCCATTACCACGGCTTGCAGGTCTTGGCGGTAGCTGTGCTTTCCTGCTTTCCTGCAGGGAAACTTTTCTGGACGTTCACCAGGATAAGGTTACGTTGAGGCCCCAGTCCTCTTTCTTACCCAAGGTGGTTTCTTCATTGCACCTGAAAAATAACTTTTTATTTGTCTTCTTTAGTTTTAATCCTAAGCATCCTAAGAAAAAGGTGCTTCAAGCTTTGGATGTTTAAGCTGTTCAAGTTTTATTTGAAACGTACAGCTTTTTTTTTTCTTTTTTTTTTTTAACGGTCTAATTCACTTTTTCTTCCTGAGAGTCAGGCTGCTTCTTGATGCACTATTTCAAGGTGGATTCATCAGCTCATTTCACAGACTTATGTTATCCCTATGTGATCAAGAGAAAGGTTTCCCCTTTCCCAGTTAAGGCCCATTTCACCAGGAATGTCAGTGCTTCCTGGACCATTCAGTATCAATTTTCTGTTCAAGTATGTAAAGCTGCTACCTGCTCTTTTGTTCTAATGTTTACTAAGTTCTACCAGGTGTATATTCACACATCTGTGAACTCCAGTTTTGGATGGAAGTTCTTGCAGGTGATTTTGTAGGGGAGTTCCCACCATTTTATTTTTGGGTTTGGTTGTGTTGGTCTTATTGCTGTGTTAATTAAATACCCTTCTTAGTGTTCATATAATTAGTCAAATACCCTTCTTAGCGTCCATATAGTCAATATAAACAATCAAAATAACAAAATAAAGTCCATAAATAATTTCTTCCAAAAACTCGCCATGTAAATCCAGTATGTGCCGTATACCTCAAAATAAGAGAAAACTCAATAGTGCATTATCCTTACATAAATTCATCAAAATATCACAAATACTTATACCAAAAAAACCTTATAGGTCTCATGCAAAATGCATAAATCATGCAAACACGTGGTGACCTGTGGAATACGTGATAGTAAACCACTCTGTATTTATAAAGTATTTCAGTGATCACTCAGTTTACACATCTAATGTGGCTGAATTGCATACCCTTACCAAAAATAAGTAATAAGCCAGCCTTTTTATATATCCAAGGGTGGGAACAGATACAGATCTGTTAGGACCTTGTGGATACTGTCAGGAATGGACTTGCCAGTAATGGTGGGACTCACCTGCACAAGGGGTTGCAGTACCAGGGCTGGCCAGCGGGTGCTCTCAGCAATCAGAGACTCAACCCTGCAGTCAGCCAAACACCTGAAGCTGATTATGCAGGTGTATTTAAGGGATGGCCAGACCTGCAGTCTGTGCCTTGGTGTGTGTTTTTCTATGGGCCCCTGTATCTTGTTACCTTCATTCCTGTTCCTGCCTGACTGACTCGTTGCTGACCCTGCCTGATCCTGACCTCTGCTGACTTCTCCTGTTTGATCCCTGGCTTGTGACCCCGACCATTCTCTGCCTGACCCCCTGTACCTACCTGCCCGTTAGTTGCTGTACCCGGCTCGTGACCTGACTACTCTCTGCCTGCTCCTCCTGTTCCTACCTGCCCGATTGTTATTGACCCAGGCCTGCCTGACTACGCTTGCATTGTATGTATTGTTATCTGTGGGTGGTTTGGTTTGGTTCGTTTGCACTGTGTTTTATGTTTTAGTATTGCACTGCGTTTGTATTGTTAGTATTAATAAATTATATTGTTTATAACATATCTGAAGCCTGCGTTTCCCTGTGTCAGTTCACATACCTCTGGTCATACCCGGAGCCCTGACATTACACCAAGGCCACTCCTGACCAGAAGTGGCTGCACAGGGAAGCCATCTTGGCTTGTTGCTGGGAAGGATGGATCTTGATGAGGTTGTGTGTATTTGTCGCTGCTGGTTTTTGATGACAGAGAATATGCTTATCAGACTCTGAGGGAGTATCCCAGGGATCAACTGCTAGAATGTATATGGGTCGCTCATGTTCTAGTAGATCAGGGCCAGAGTTCTCTGAGGTGCAACCTTTGATTCAGGTTTGTGCAGAGTTGGCTTCATCTGGTACCCTGAAAGCAGGAATGACTTTTTGCCACCATTTAGTGCAGACCAGGTAAAGTCCCTGGTATGGTTATTAGAGGATGATGTGGATTGCTTCTTGGAGCATTATGCCACATGTTCACAACAGGTATTAAGGGATTGTATAAACGCAGTGCAGTCTTTGACCAGACAGGCTTTGTGTAAGCTGAGCTTTGTTCAACCCATACTGCAGACATGGTCAGACTTGTTGCACCCAGCCTCAGTCAGCTTACAACGTCATTCCTCTGCTCAAGGCACTCTTCCTACATCCCCGACAGCACCCCCAGTGACGGCCCAGTATACTCTGCTAACTACCACATACCAGTCCTCTGCTCCCACTCGCTGCACCTATCCTTTCTTTAACCCTGTAAAGAAGTCCTCTGTAGCAACTGCTCCCTCCTCTGTTCCATCTTCCAGCTCTTCTCTGTCCTCAGCTGCTCCATTCGTTTGCAGACCTGCGTTTACTTGCAGTGCTCCAGTAGTTAAAACCAGAAAAAAGCGAAAATTCTTTCCACCAGTACCATCCTGCCAGTTTCCAAACCGGTGAGCCTGCCGTCTGAGAACCTGCCTTCCATGGTTCAGCCTGGTGCCTCGGCACCCGCACTTCAGCCTGATGTCTCTACCCAGCCTGATGTCTCTACCCAGCCTGATGTCTGTACCCAGCCTGATGAACTGATCCAGCCTGATGATCCTATCACGCCTGATGACCCAGTGCCCGCTGTCATACCTGGTGACCCGATGCCCGCTGTCGAGCCAGACGATCCAATGCCAGATGACCCGGTGCCCGCTGTCGATCCAGACGATCCGGTACCTGATGACCCGGTGCCTGCTGTCATGCCTGGTGACCCGATGTCCGCTGTCGAGCCAGACGATCCAATGCTTGATGACCCAGTGCCCGCTGTCATGCCTGGTGACCCGATGCCCGCTGTCGAGCCAGACGATCCAGCGCCAGATGACGCGGTGCCCGCTGGCGAGCCAAATGACCTGATGCCTGGTGACCCAGTGCCCGCTGTCATACCTGGTGACCCGATGCCCGCTGTCGAGCCAGACAATCCAATGCCTGATGACCCAGTGCCTGCTGTCATGCCTGGTGACCCGATGCCCGCTGTCGAGCCAGACAATCCAATGCCTGATGACCCAGTGCCTGCTGTCATGCCTGGTGACCCGATGCCCGCTGTCGAGCCAGACGATCCGGTACCTGATGACCCGGTGCCCGCTGTCGTGCCAATTGACTCAGAGCCCACTGTCGTGCCTGGTGACTCTGTGCCCACTGCCTTGCCAGATGACGCGTTGCCCGTTTGTCGAGCCAAATGACCTGATGCCTGGTGACCCGATGCCCGCTGTCGAGCCAGACGATCCAATGTCTGACCCAGTGCCCCCGGTCATGCCAGTTGACTCGGAACCCACTGTCGTGCCTGGTGACTCGGTGCCCACTGCCTTGCCAGATGACGCGGTGCCCGCTGGCGAGCCAAATGACCTGATGCCTGGTGACCCGATGCCCGCTGTCGTGCTGATGGCCCGGTGCCTGCCGCTCCGCCTGGGGGCCCGGTGCCTGCCGCCCCTCCTGGGGGTCCAGCGCCCCGCCGCTCCGCTTGGGGGCCCGATGCCTGTCGCTCCGCCCGGGGGCCCGATGCCTGTCGCTCCGCCCGGGGGACCCGATGCCTGTCGCTCCGCCCAGGGGGCCCCGATGCCTGCCGCCCCTCCTGGGGGCCCGGCACCCGCCGCTCCGCCTGGGGGCCCGGCGCCCACCGCTCCTCCTGGGGGCCCGGCGCCCGCCGCTCCGCCTGGGGGCCCGGCGCTTGCCGCTCTGGCTGGGGGCCCGGTGCCTGCCGCCCCGCCTGGTGGCCCGGTGCCTGCTGCTCCGCCTGGGGATCCAGTGTCCAGCCCGATGTGCCTCTGCCCGGTGTCCAGCCCGATGTGCCTCTGCTCGGAGTCCAGCCCGATGTGCCGCTGCCCGGAGTCCAGCCCGATGTGCCGCTGCCCGGAGTCCAGCCCGATGTGCCGCTGCCGGAGTCCAGCCCGATGTGCCGCTGCCCGGAGTCCAGCCCGATGTGCCGCTGCCCGGAGTCCAGCCCGATGTGCCGCTGCCCGGAGTCCAGCCCGATGTGCCGCTGCCCGGAGTCCTGCCCGATGTGCCAGTCTTTGATATCCTGCCAGTTACCAGACCCGGGCGGTGGAACATTTTGCCAGGGTAAGACTGTTTGGAGCGTCCTGAGGCCGCTCCTTGAGGGGGGGGTACTGTCAGGAATGGACTTGCCAGTAATGGTGGGACTCACCTGCCTTGTGGGCTGCAGTACCAGGGCTGGCCAGCGGGTGCTCTCAGCAATCAGAGACTCAACCCTGCAGTCAGCCAAACACCTGAAGCTGATTATGCAGGTGTATTTAAGGGATGGCCAGACCTGCAGTCTGTGCCTTGGTGTGTGTTTTTCTATGGGCCCCTGTATCTTGTTACCTGCATTCCTGTTCCTGTTCCTGCCTGACTGACTCGTTGCTGACCCTGCCTGATCCTGACCTCTGCTGACTTCTCCTGTTTGATCCCTGGCTTGTGACCCCGACCATTCTCTGCCTGACCCCCTGTACCTACCTGCCCGTTAGTTGCTGTACCCGGCTCGTGACCTGACTACTCTCTGCCTGCTCCTCCTGTTCCTACCTGCCCGATTGTTATTGACCCGGCCTGCCTGACTACGCTTGCATTGTATGTATTGTTATCTGTGGGTGGTTTGGTTTGGTTCGTTTGCACTGTGTTTTATGTTTTAGTATTGCACTGCGTTTGTATTGTTAGTATTAATAAATTGTATTGTTTATAACATATCTGAAGCCTGCGTTTCCCTGCATCAGTTCACATACCTATGGTCATACCCGGAGCCCGGACAGATACCTTCTGATCCCCCAATACTCCTATCGATACTCCTGTCTCCTTTAAGACTCCAGTGCAACCATTCATAGAGAAAAGGAGATTCGTATACTGTAGTATGTAAAGATATAATAACTCTATGCTTTATTAATAATGCTTACATAAAACGCCACATATCAGGCATAAAAGATCCCATGATCCACCTTGCAGCAGCTTCCAGGAACGCCAACCGCTTTCCCCACAGTTAAAATGGCGACCCACTACTTCCGGTTTCTCGTGTAGCATCCAACGTCACGTCCCTTGACGCGTTTCGTCACTTCCTTGACTTCCTCATAAGGGGTGTGTGCATTGGAGAGGCGGCCGCACTATATCTTTGTCTGGATTGCTAATTGTGAGTCCTTCCCCGCCATTTTGCTTTATGGAAACGATACCATACGATACCAGTCCGCATAATATATTCCTTACTATGCCACTACTCCATGTACAACCTATAAACCTCCTTAAATACTCCGATTATAGATAGAATTCCTAAACACTCTTATGCATTAACTATATATACAGATTCTTGTGGGGGATGTACATAATACTGTATGGATAAAGGAATATAAATACACTTAATAAAAAAGGGACCTATTTAAAATCAAAATATTATCTACTAGCATTACAAAATACATAAACCTTCTATACAAAGTATTCTTAATATACAAGAATATATAAATTAATATAAATCAATGTATATTATTCCCACCCCGCCCTCTTGTGGCAAAGGAGGAGATAACCTCATATATCCTTCTATATCCTTCCGAATACTAACCATAAATACTCTATAAAAAAATAAAATAAAAATATATATTATTTGTTTATGTAATATTAATTAAATCTAATATTTTACTAATTCTTATTAATTTTAATATTTTATATATTTTATAAGGTATAATAAGATTATAAAATCAATCTTATTATAAAAATAAATTATTAAAATTAATAAGAATTAATAAAATGTTAGATTTAATTAATATTACATAAATAATATGTATTTTTATTTATTTTATTTTTTATAAAAGTATTTATGGTTATGATTCGGAAGGATATAGAACAGCGGTTCTCAACCTGTGGGTCGCAACCCCTTTGGGGGTCGAACGACGCTTTCACAGGGGTCGCCTAAGACCATCGGAAAACACATATTTCCGATGGTCTTAGGAACCGAGACACCGCTCCTCTGTCTGTCTCCAGGTGTGGGCGGGATGACATGCCGCCCCTGTCATCTGGCCACACCCCCGGGATAAATCCTCGCCGGTGTGATTGGCCGCCAGAACTGTAGCTCAGGAGAGGCACACAGGCGGCCAATCACCGCGAGGAGGTGGAGCTTGGAGAGGAGGAGCCGAGCGGCACACCGCGAAGATCGAGCGAGTGAAGAGGAGCAGATCGGCCGGAGAAGGAAGACAGCTGACCGGTAAGTGTCTGTACCATGGAGAGAGGGAGGGAGCGAGCAAGCCCAGGCTGGAGCAGGGGTCAGCAAGGTAAGTATCATTGGTGTCAGTGGGAGGAATAGTGCCCAATCATTGGTGTCACTAATACCAATGATGGGGCACTATTCCTCCCACTGACACCAACGATGGGGCACTATTCCTCCCCCCACTGACACCAACGATGAGGTACGATCCCTCCCCCAAATGACACCAACGATGGGGCACGATTCCTCCCCCCACTGACACCAACGATGGGGCACGATTCCTCCCCCCACTGACACCAACGATGGGGCACGATTCCTCCCCCCACTGACACCAACGATGGGGCACGATTCCTCCCCCCACTGACACCAACGATGGGGCACTATTCCCCCCACTGACACCAACGATGGGGCACTATTCCCCCCACTGATACCAACGATGGGGCACTATTCCCCCCACTGACACCAACGATGGGGCACTATTTCCCCCACTGACACCAACGATGGGGCACTATTCCTCCCACTGACATCAATGTTGGGGCACTATTGCTCCCCCTAACACCAATGTTGGGGCACTATTCCTCCCCTGATACCAATGTTGGGGCACTATTCCTCCCACTGACACAAATGATGGGGCACTATTCCCCCCACTGACACCAATGATGGGGCACTATTCCTCCCACTGGCACCAATGATGGGGCACTATTCCTCCCACTGATACCAATGATGGGGCACTATTCCCCCCACTGACACCTATGATGGGGCACTATTCCTCCCACTGACACCAATGATGGGGCACTATTCCTCCCACTGATACCAATGATGGGGCACTATTCCTCCCCCTGATACCAATGTTGGGGCACTATTCCTCCCACTGACACCCATGATGGGGCACTATTCCTCCCACTGATACCAATGATGGGGCACTTTTCCTCCCACTGACACCAATATTGGGGCACTATTCCTCCCACTGATACCAGTGATGGGACACTTTTCCTCCCACTGACACCAGTGATGGGACACTATTCCTCCCACTGACACCAGTGATGGGGCACTATTCCTCCCACTGACACCAGTGATGGGGCACTATTCCTCCCACTGACACCAATGATGAGGCACTATTCCTCCCACTGACACCAATGTTGGGGCACTATTCCTCCCACTGACACCAATGTTGGGGCACTATTCCCCCCCCTGACACCAATGTTGTGGCACTATTCCTCCCACTGACACCAATGATGGGGCACTATTCCCCCCACTGACACCTATGATGGGGCACTATTCCCCCCACTGACACCTATGATGGGGCACTATTCCCCCCACTGACACCTATGATGGGGCACTATTCCTCCCACTGATACCAATGATGGGGCACTATTCCTACCACTGATACCAATGATGGGGCACTATTCCTCCCATTGACATCAGTGATGGGACACTATTCCTCCCACTGACACCAATGACGTGGCACTACTCCTCCCGCTGCAAAATTACAGTTATGAAGTAGCAACGAAAATAATTTTATGGTTGGGGGTCACCACAACATGAGGAACTGTATTAAGGGGTCGCGGCATTAGGAAGGTTGAGAACCACTGATATAGAAGGATATATGATGTTATCTCCTCCTTTGCCACTAGAGGGCGGGGTGGGAATAATATACATTGATTTATATTCATTTATATATTCTTGTATATTAAGAATACTTTGTATAGAAGGTTTATGTATTTTGTAATGCTAGTAGATAAAATTTTGATTTTAAATAGGTCCCTTTTTATTAAGTGTATTTATATTCCTTTATCCATACAGTATTATGTACGTCCCCCACAAGAATCTGTGTATATAGTTAATGCATAAGAGTGTTTAGGAATTCTGTGTATAATCGGAGTATTTAAGGAGGTTTATAGGTTGTACATGGAGTAGTGGCATAGTAAGGAATATAGTATGTGGACTGGTATCATATGGCATAA